ACAATGACAAAATCAGACATTATGAAGAACTATGAAAATAACATCTAGTTATTAGGGGGGGAAAGTATCCATTAAATGTAGCTTGAAAAATAAGAGACCCAGAGACTGATATTGGGGTTCAAGTTTCAAGCTGAAGATCAGAAAAGCAAAGCAGCTGGTCACTAGCTCTTATCTCTACCTATGCTCAGACCAAAGGGGAGATCCTCAGACTGCTCCCAACTCACAGCTCCTCAGATTCACTCAGACTGCTAAACTCTCCTCAACGTGGCTAGAGACTTTTATACCTCTCAAATCCTGGGATTAAGGGTGTGAGCTCTGATTCACTCTTAGACTGATCCAATCTCCTGTAGACCTGGGCGGCCTTAAACTCACAGAGATCCCTGTACCTCTTAATCCTGAGTCCTGGGGTTAAAGGTGTGGCCACCACTGCATAATTTCTATAGCTAACTAGTGTGGCTGGCTTCCCAAACGGATCTCCAGTGACTTTATTAGATCAGAAACAATATATCACCACAATTAAAAACATAGAAAGAAATCTGAACTCATGTGTTTCATAAGGAATATAATTAATTATTAAAATTTGGGGACTGAAAAAGATTTCTATGTTCTTAAAGATGAATGTAGTGTATAATTTTAAAGCACTCAACATCTACATGAATTTTTATAAACTTGAGGCTATTTTTCTTTCATATTGATGCCTAGAAAAATAGCATGATTTTGTAAAATATTTAGCATTCCTCACTAGCACATTGTTTAATTTTTTTCAGGGTTCTGTTTATTTTTTCTGTTCTTATATAGAGACAATTTTGTCATTTATGTTGTAATATCTATAACAGTGATAATAATTACAGCTCTATAATAAAGAGTTAATTCTAAGGGTAGGTTCAGGACAACACAGCGGCTTTGCAGTGCAGCTGGGCCCTCTGCTCCCTATCCACCCCCTCGAGGCCCAAACGGTGCATCATCCCCACCAAGGAAACAGAAGCTCACCGGATTCACTGCCAGGAGTCTCAGACTAAGCTGTGCTGAAGTGAAACTGGCTGGCTTTGAACGCATTCTCCTCAGCCAATGAGGAGCAGGTGTGGCCGGCAGCGTCACTTGTCTCCGGAAGAACTCACAGGAAAAGCCCCGCGGTACAGACAAAGCCAGCCATGTCATAAAGCCAGCGAAAGCTGGCTTAGAGGAAACGTAACCAAACTTTCTAACGTATTCGGTAAAAGCCGAAGCACTGGCCTAGGGTCCGGGATAGAAATATGATGTAAACCAAATAAATAAAATTTCAGAATTAGCAACATAAAAATCTGAAAACCATTGGAATGATAAATAGACCTTAAATTGTGTAAAAAGAAAAAAAAAGATAGCTAATTGTATTAATCCAACAGTCCTGTCTGCCTCAACAACGCAGTGAAATGCTAGCAACGACATCATCCATCTCAACCTTAGCTTCAAACATAGGCATGACAGCTCTAGGGGCCTGTAAGTCTACATGTTGGAGGCTGAAGCAGGGGAATTTCAAGTTTGAGACCAGCCTGGTGAGGTTGTTTCTTTTTTGTTTTTTCTATGTCAGACCCCTAATAAGTCTCCGCTGGGCTGAAGGTCCTTACAGGTTAGGCCATCTCCTTGTATGCAGCAAAAACTGACAAATAAACCTCACGCGTTCCAGTATTCAGAGACCAAAGAAAGCCAAATGCAGGAAGAACTTTAAAACAGTATGGTTTCCTCATTGCATGGTTTGTAAATGAGACCTAGTTTTATTCAACTTCGTAAATTTTTTGTTTTGATAACATTTGTGCAAGTCTTAGGAATACTATTCAATAAGTTTTAACAAATAATTACAACCATAACTCATGCCCCTGTTGAGATATGGTTCTCTGGATACGTATAAAATCCTGGGTGGGGGGCAGGCACAAAGAAGTATACTGTCTAGGGGAGACGGAAGTGACACTGTCTAGGGGAATGATTGGGAACAACAGAGGAGGAAGAGAAGGATGGTGGGGAAACATGGCCAAGGTTCATGACGCACGTGTATTAAAGTGTATTTACAAACCTAATACTATGGACAAGGAATATGCTCGAATAGCGACTTATTTTAAAAGAGATGCAGGGCTGGAGAGATGGCTCAGGGGTGAAGAGCACTTACACTTCTTTGTGCTCTTGCAGAGGTCCTGAGTTCAGCACCTCATTGGTGCTATCGCACCAGCTGCCTGTCACTCTAGGTCCAGGGGGCCCAAGGTCTCTCCAGACTCCGTGGTCATCCACATGTGCATACCCACACACAGAGACACATAGTTAAAAATAAAAACCACCTTTAAAGAACACGCCTCATGAACCTCCCAGAGTCCACTGTGGATATAAGCACATCTGACAACTATCCTAACTTTATGTTTTAGAATAAGCGTGTCTACTCTAAGATTTCTGATAAAATGAATCATATAACATATATTCTCTTTAGAATATTTATTGTTTTATTTATGTGTATGTGTGTGTGTGCACGCATGCGTTTATGTGCACCGCACACATGAAGGCACCAAGGGAGGCCACAGGGTGTCCTGGAACTGGAGTTCCAATCAGTTGTCGGCCCCATGTGGGTGCAGGGAAGGGGCCCAGGTCATCACAGCAGCAGTCAGTGCTCTCAACCCCTGAGCCATCTGTGGCCTCATAGCATGTCTTCTTGTGCATGACATCTTTCATTTTGTGTGTGCTCAACTTTGCATTTATTTCTATAATTTAATTTTAAATTTATTTGTATGTGTGTGCGCCTGCTTTTCTACACGAGCACCATGTCAGGGTGTCAGATGCCCTGCAGCCTAGAGACAGCTTAGTGGTGAAGAGCACTGGCTGCTCTTGTGGAGGACTAGAATTCAGATCCCAGCACTCCCATGGCAGCTCACAACCACCTACAACCCAAGCAGCAAGAAATCCAGCTTAGCATAGCTTGCTCATCCCTCCTTTTCTCCACAGGACTCTCTCCTATGGAGCTGGCTGCAACTTGTACAGGGGGCTTCATGGATGCAGCTTTCATGAGTCATTGCCTGGACTGGGGTGGACTGTGTGCCTGTGTGTGTGTGTGTGTGTGTGTGTGTGTGTGTGTGTGTGTCTGT